AGGTGGAGCGAGTGCCTAGCGAATAAACCGGTCTTCTTTTCCGACGTTCGATGCCGGAGCCGCGGGGTCTCTTGGCCGGAGAGGAATCAGAGTAAGACTCTTTCATGAGATGCACTTCTAAAATCCATGAGATAAGAAAGCAGCAAATACATATAAACATGTTTCAAGTTGAATGCACAGCTTTGTGGAAACAAATAGAAAAAATATATATATATATGCTCCCTCACCACTCTCTCTCTCTCTCTCTCTCTCTTACTCTTTCTCTCTCCTCTCTCTCTCTCTCTCTCTCTCTCTCTCTCTCTCTAACAATCTGACAATCTCTCTCTCTCTCTCTGTCTCTCTCTCTCTCTCTCTCTCTGTCTCTCTCTCTCTCTCTCTCTCTCTCTCTCTCTCTCTCTCTCTCTCTCACTCTCTCTCTCTCTCTCTCTCTCTCTCTCTCTCTCTCTCTCTCTTACTCTTTCTCTCTCCTCTCTCTCTCTCTCTCTCTCTCTCTCTCTCTCTCTCTCTCTCTCTCTCTCTCTCTCCCTCCTCTCTCTCTCTCTCTCTCTCTCTCCCTCTCTCTCTCTCTCTCTCACTCACTCTTTCTCTCTCCTCTCTCTCTCTCTCTCTCTCTCTCTCTCTCTCTCTCTCTCTCTCTCTCTCTATATATATATATATATATATATATATATATATATATATATATATATATATATATAATCGTTTATTTGTTTATTGGTCTATCTATCCATCTATCTACCTAGCCATCTATCTATCTATCTGTCTGTCTGTCTGTCTATGTATTAGTTTATCTAGCTTTGTAGATCTTTATCTTATTATCTGTCACTCTATCTATCTAACTCACACCCTCTCCCCCTATCTTCCCTTACACTTCCTCTCCTCCCTCTCACTCTCTCTACTTCTTCCTCTCATTTAGCTTCCGTTTACCTTTTCCAGCATCTTCCGAGTCGTCGACAAGTAGCCCTTTTGAGTGAGTGAGCTTCAACCTTGCACTGATCGCAGTATATTTTCCTTTATATAGTTCTTTTACATCTTTCTCCGGC